GCAATTTTTTGTTACAGGGAAGCTGTTTTTCTGCCTTGCTCTTTGGTGGGAATAGAGGGTACAGTTGATTGACATGTTCAGTCCTCATCATCCTCACACTTTGAGCTTCGTTGGACGGGAACAGTCTGCTGACTGCTAAGGGGAGCTTGGGGTTTAGGGGAGGGGTGGCTAGGAGCTCAGTCCTCAGTTCCTTGTAGATGTGGCAGTTGTGTCTCTTTAAAGGTCACCCAAAGACCTCAGGACAAGTTAGAAGATTGGCCTGCTGTGAGGCTGTCTGGTGGTCCCAGTCAGTCAGCCAGCTGGTGAGTGAGTGAGTGAGAAAGGGGGCGTGGAGAGCAGTCTGGCAACAGCCTTCCCACCACATTGATCTAGAACAGTGGTTCTCAACCTTCCTAATGCCGCGACCCTTTAATATAGTTCCTCATGTTGTGGTGACCCCCAATTTCATTGTTACAAATTGAACATAATTAAAGCATAGTGATTAATCACAAAAACAATATGTAATTATATATGTGTTTTCCGATGGTCTTAGGTGACCCCTGTGAAAGGGTCGTTCGACCCCCAAAGGGGTCGTGACCCACAGGTTGAGAACCGCTGATCTAGAAGGACCCAGTGGCTCCTCCTAGGGCCCAGAGGACCCTTTCTTTCACTAAGCAAAGGCGGGGAAGCAGCCCTGGGGGGAGAAGGGGCTGCTGGTACCCGAGGATCCTGAGGATGGCTTCAGCCCATTGGAGTCGTATCTCCCCCTCTGCAGTTTAAGCCTGGTCTTCCTTTTCACTTTGCTTTACTTCCACCTGCAAAGGAGGGGACCCAGCACTCATGGTGACCTGCCTTACAGGGAAAACGGGACCAGTGTGGAGGACTAAGGGGCTTCAGGGCTTCTACAGCCAGAGAAGGAGCAGGTGGAACGGCAGTTGCTCTTGGCCATTGGCCTCCCATTCTCAAACCTCTAGCCACAGTGTCGCTGGCATCCACCCTGCTCTGAGGCAGGCCTGGGCCTCTTGTGACTGCCCCTTTTCTTGGCCTCCTCCACGTATGTCTTTACCCCCTTTCCTGCTGCCTCCCACATATAGATGAGCTTCTGCCTTTAAGCTCCTTTTTCTTATTAATCTAGTTCCCAGAAGCCTTCCAGCAACCTACAGCACTGGGTTCTACCCTTCCCCTCCTTTCCTTGTGGGCAGTTTCATGTTCTGTGAGAAAGAGCAGTACTGAGAGCCTCTTTGTCTGGTTCTCTGGTCAGATTCTGCCCCCGTGTGTGCATGGCACTTGCCACTATACCTGTGGCCTCCTGTGAAAACAACAGGAGTGTTGGGGTTTTGGCCCCTGACCTGGTAAGGGCTTGCTGTGTCAAGAAACACCTTGCCCTTGCTGGTACAGGTGGCTGTCTGCACGCCCAGGTACAAAGACGGCCCTTCCAAGAAAAAGTTGGTATAAATCAGATTGTTTCAAAGGGAGCTCATGATTTAAAGAATTCTGGGAAAGTCCTTTTCTGATCAGAGGAGGATTGCGCCCTAGCTGATCATTCATATATTTGAGTGGTTTAGCGAAGAGAGGAACAGCATCCTTCCACACACACCCCACACTCCCCCCCCCCCCCCCCCCCACACCCCCTCCCAGTTCACAGTTCTCCTTCCTCCATCCGGGATAGGAGCAAGTGGGAGGAAGCCCTGGCAGCTGGGACAGGACTGCACAAGGGTGATGCACCAGACACCAGGAAGGGTCAGATGTCCAGGCTCATGGAGTTAGTGTTACCACATACGTGATGTGTGAGCATATTTTTACTGTAGGGTAGGAGTAAGCCAAGCCAGCCTACATCACTCCTAATTATATCTGGTAGGTCATATGGCCTCTGCAAGTCCTGGAAACTAGTGGAGAAGTTTAACAGCAAAGTGCAGGTGGTCCCCAGAATATCCTGAAGCTTGTGTGGCTTGTCTCTTGGTTTGGCAGATATGGTGTGTACAGACCATTCTCAGATGGGAGGGTTGAATTCATTGTTCATTGTCTGTGCTCTGAGGCCTCCAGTCACTCAATGCAACCTACTGGTGCTTCCATTAGCAGGCCAACTGAGGCCTCTGCCCACCACGGAGCTGCTAGCCCCCAGGAGCACTGTGAAATGTGAGCTAAAAGCAGGGAAGCCCCACGCAGAATACCAGGTCGTTTAAAGCTACTAACCAGGGACAGTGTTGGTCCAGCCCAGCAAGTCATTTTTATCAGACTGAGCATAAGATCATTGGTTGCTTTGAAAAGGAGTAAACTGTCTCTCATTGGAAGGGTCCAAGCAGATCCCACACCTCCACTCTCAAACCCTGACGGTCAGAAAGGATGATGTGTAAAATCTAGAATCTGTAAATGAGGGCTGGACCTTCGTGCCGTATTACAGATGCCCACCTGGCAAGTGCAGACAGGGTCAAGCCCTAGAAATTGAAAACTGGGCATTTGCTAGGCCACTGTTTTCTTCAACATGATCGATGTTTTTTAAATGATCTGCCTTCAGCAGTCATTACTTCAAGGAGTTTTCCCTCATTATCTCTACCCAGGTGACTTCTCCCTTCTCTTTGTATTCTGTAGCATCTTATATACAATTTGGAATGAACTCTCATGGGCTTCTTTTTATTCTTTTACATGTATCTGTGTGATTCTCATAATAAACTTGTGTAGCACAGGGGGGAAAGAATTTGTCAGATTAATAAATGAGATTATGAAGAAACTGCTTATCCAGATGAGAAAATAACCCCCTGTAATCTGTCTTTTCAGAAGTACCATTTCCATGAAAGTCTTTAAATTTCAGACCTCCTTACTGGTTGCTAAAAGGCCTCTGGCGACGCTGTTAACCTAGCTCAGGTTTGTGTGTATACTTGAAAGTTACCTAGAGGTGTCTCCTGAATAGCTTATAATTAATTCTAAATCACAACCCCCTCCCCCCCAGGGATAAATGGACACTTTCTATTTTGGAATCCAGATAAGACAAAAAACAAAACATCAAAATAAAGACAGAGATCATTCGTCTCTTGCCCAGCATCCTCTTAATCCAGCCCCGTTTTAAAACCACACCCTTTAGTGGAGGGGGGAAGTCAGGGCGTGAAAGGGAGATTAGCTGCCACCTATCAGGGCCCAGCACCAGCCAGTAGGGAGTTTAGGAATGGAGCGAGAAGTAGGGGCTAGGGGCTAGGGGCCAGGTTCAGCCATCACCCTGATTTTTCCTGCTCATGGGCTCAGTTTATCGCCATCATTGTGAGAACAGTTTGCCTGTAAACGTCTTCATGTGCAGTTTCTTAAATAGCCACAAGGTGAGGATGTGGCTCCATGAAAGTCTATCTCGGCAGGACTTGGTCACTGTCCCTGGATCAGTCTCTTCGCTCTTTTACTTTGTGTGCCTCTGCTTTGTGACTTGTTCCCTCGTTGGTTCATAAAGAGCTTAGGTTCTGGAGTCACACAGTTCTAGCGTGGAATCTCTCTCAGCCTTGGTTTCCCCGTCTGTGAAATGAGAATAAAAGGACCTGCCTCCCAGGGGAAACTGGCACCCTCACATGCTGCTGGTGGGAGTGTAAATTGATGCCATCCCATAGAGGGCACTTGGCAGCGTATGCCAGAGGTACAAATGCAGGGATCGTTGGCCTCAGCAGTTCTACTTCTGGCTATTTATGCTGTGGGGGTGCTAGCATGCATGCCAGTGATGTGTGTTCGTGCATTCACCGCAGCAGTTTGTAATAGCAAAAGATTGGAAATAACCCAAATGTCCACTAGTAAGAGACTGGTGAAATTAACTAGTGTGCAGTCTTACAATGGACTATAGTACTGGGCAGTGATACAAAGAACAAGGAAGCTCTGTAAGGCTAAGGAATGATCGCTAAGAGATTTTGTTTGAAAGAAGAGAAAAGCATGTCCCATACATTTTGCTATTTTTATGTCAAAAACAAAACAGGAGAAGGATGAAATAGATTTTTGTGTTTGCTGCATATGTATCAGATGAGAGACATACATACAATTAATGAGACTGTTTGCCGGTTGTTTTTTTGTGTGTGGCATTATCTAATAGTAAATATTTTGCTTGATTTATATGAAAAATAGGTTGCTTTTTCTCCTTCTCTTGGACTTTGTTCCTTGTAACTTGTTACACTGATTCTGTCACACATACAGCCCCCTTGACCATGGTGGCATTTGCTGACACTGTGCCAGGCATTGTCGTGGTGCCCTGCATGCACTGGCTCCTTTTAGGGAGGAATAGGGACAAGAGCGGAAGGATACATTTTATTTTTCAGCCATATATTGAAATTGTCCAAAAAAATAGTTTTCCTGATTAGTTTATCCACATATGGTGGTTGCGAGAAGTAAACGGGGGTACATGTGAAGTGTGTGCTCCGCCCTAGGGTGGCCTCTGAAGTGGCTCGGAGCCTCAGTGCCCAGGCAGGCAGGGCAGGACCCTCCTGTATGGATGGTCTCGGGATAGCTGTCCTCACATAGTTGTGTTTCCTGGTGTGTGAGCTGAGCAGGGTAAGCCCACATCCACAGCTTCCTCCACTTTCTCAGACTTCCCACCTGCTTGCCATCACTCACCTCCTGGTCTCTGAGGAAACAAGGCTATTTGTGTCCAAGTTCTAGCTTTGGGGTTGGCCCACTGTACTTCAGGCAGCTGCTGAAATCCTGGGTGCTCGAGGGTCCCTTGTTCCCCTTCCAAGTCCTCCCATAGTTGTGCTCCCAGCAGCAGCCTACACACTTAGTCTGAGGGGGTCTCCTTCTGTTCCCAAAGCTCTTATAGCAACAGACCTATTTTCAGATCCGCCTCCTATGTGTTCCTTCTTCCCTCCTTGCCTGCTGCCTTGTGTATCTCTCTTTTCTCAACCTGCCCCACAACCTGGGGCATGGTTTCTGTGCTTTGAGAGGGTCCTGCCTTCTCTGCAGGGCAGAGTGGGCACTGCGAGAGCACCCTGGGTTCAGCCGAGGCCTGGGCGTGCCCTGACTTGATCTGCAGAGCAGAGCAGTCAGTGCCAAGCCAGAGCCACCTGCTGACAGGGGCGTTTCAACAACAGATCTGCAGCTGGGCTGGCACAAGCCAGGCCTCTTACCCAGTGGGGCTGGGCTGAAGGGACAGGGACGAAAAGGTGACTTTAGTGAGGACTAAGCCTTGCCTCTGATTTGGGCCTGCATTTACCCTCCTGGGACCTATTGCTGGGGTTGGCACAGGCCACATAAAAGCAGAGGACAAAATGTTGTGTTCCTGCCTTCCCTTCGGAAGGGTTTGGGGCCAAGGAAACGCTGGACTTGGGCCTCTGTTCTTCTCTAAGGAAGTAGCCATCATTTGTTTGTTTGTTTTCCTTTGGCCAAAAATAAAGTTTTTCTTAATAATTAAAAAGCAAGGTTGCCTTACACAGATGTAGAGAATTTATCTTTTTGTCTCCCTTTCCCACTTTATAGGCAGCTGAAGGCTTCAGAGAACCCGGACCTAGGGACGCATCAATGGCCCTGGGAGAAGAAAAGGCAGAGGTGGAGGCATCCCTGGACACAAAGGCCCCGTCCTGTGGGCGGTGGAGCTGCAGAGAGCAGGAGGCGGACACCCCGGGGCCTGTGAGTGGGGAGCAGCCACCACGCCTGGAAGCTGAGGGAGGGCCTGCCTCCCCTGTGTGGGGGACAGAGGGCCTACCTGCCCCTCTCTGCTGCCCCTCTGGAGCCTGCCAGTCACAGGCCAGCAACACCAGCAGGGAGCCAGTGGCTGGTGCATCTCAGCCTGCTCTCAGTTGCCTGCTTCCTCCTGCCAGTGTGGGGACAGATCTGCATTCTGTGGGAAGCCAGGTAGCTACTAAGGTCAGTGGCACTGTAGATTTGCCTAATGCTGTCTTTTGGGAGTGCGTGCCAGCATTTTGTCACCATTTTACATGCTTTCCCAGTCCCTGTACAAGATGGGGCATTGGGGGAGCCTGGGGGAGGTGATTTCTGTTTTACAGGTTCATCTGGAGAATTGGGCCTTGAGGCCAGCAGGGGGCTCTGTCCACAGCATCCCCTCTTCCTTAAGAGACTAGTGACCCAGAGGGGTGGGCCAGGAATGCTCTCAATGGGGGAGCCCTGTCCTGTTTCTGACTTGGTGATCCGAAGGCCTTGGGGGCCCTGAGGAGACTTGAGGAAGGAGGACCCAGGGCTGTGGTCTCCTGAGGGCTTTAAGACTGTATGTCCTTGGAACCCAGGAAACCTCACAAAGCTGCCCTGTGGTGGGCAGCACTGTTGCTGGGCAAGGAAAATTTCTTGGGCCTCCCTGAGTGCAGGGCAGTCTTGCCTAGTGGGAATCACATGGAGAAGGAGTCCTGCCTGCCTCTGTGACCGCGGTCAAATCACTGAATCTTTCAGGCCCTCCGTATAATTGGAAGGTGACCTGTGTGACCTATCCCTCCCAGCTCTGACATCCTATTATGCTCTACTTGCCAAGGCCTTTCATGGGAATGACTTTGATCTCTTCAGTGTCATTGTGGCCTTGGCTGTTGCATGCTGCCCCTATGGAGCCCCATCCTGCGAGGAGCCTCTGAGCGTGACTGTGGGAGAAAACAAGCTGGGCCCACCTGCCTGGGAGCCAGGGTGGTGGGAGGCTCAGGGAACCTGTGAGTCAGAGACTCAGTGAGGCAGGAAATACTAGTAAGCCAATTGGGCTGTTTCATGATGTGAGTCTGTTGCTTATTGTAACTCCTATTGTGTTGAGCTCTCACCCTGTGCTTTTCACACATGAGCTCATGTAATCCTCATGTCCTGAGGAAGTGGTGCTATTACTATCCACACTTTATAGGTGTGGGAAGCAAGGCTCAAAGTTATACATCTGGAAGGTGGCAGTTAGAGATTAGCACCGGGTCTATCTGTTCCAAAGCCCATGGCTGTAACTACTATGCTGTCGGCCTCCCTCAGGGCAAGTTCTTCATCAAGCAGATAAAAATTTCAGAGTAAAGAGGCTGAGACGAATGATCATTTTGCCATTGTTTATTACCACTGGCATTTGAGCTGAGCTGAGTGGGTTTGGATGTGTCTCCTGTCAGTGACAGAATGATTGAGGCTTCATCTATCCTCTTCTGAAAGGCTAGGCAATGTGTTCCAGCTTCTGCATGCCAAAGCGCTCGGAGTTCTCACAGGCAGGGTGTCTGGAGGAAGAACTCTTGAAAGGGCTGAGGGTAGGATCAGTCTGGGGAAGAGTTTCATGCTGCCACTAGCAGCACTCTATCTGATTCTTGCGTCGGGTAGCAGACTCATGTCAAGACCTCTCCTGAATGTTACCTGGGCTCCCCAAAGAAAACTCCCGATTTATCATCTAAGAAAGAAATGTAGCCCAGCTGGCATGGTTCAGTGGTTGAGCATCAACCCAGGAACCTGGAGGTCATAGGTTCAATTCCTGGTCAGGGCACATGCCTGGGTTGCGGGCTCGATCTCCAGTAGGGATGTGCAGGAGGCAGCCAATCAGTGATGTTCTTCTCTCATCCATGTTTCTATCTCTCTAACCCTCTCTCTCTCTCTCTCAATAAAATATATATATTTTTAAAAAGAAATAAGTACAACTATGATACATCTATGTTTAAAAAAAAGAAATGTAGCTTACTTATCACTTTTTCTTCCCTCTTCTCATTGCAGATGGAGGACACCAGGCTTTCTGCCTCAGAGGAGCTACCTCAGGCTACAACCGTTCCCAGAGCCACAGCCCTTTGCTCAGGACATGATGCTGATACCGAAGATGACCCATCCCCCCTGGAGTCACCGCGGGTGCTGGCCCTCAGCCAACAGCCTCACATCTCAGGTTTCCCTTTCTCGTCAAAGTGGAGGTCCACGGTGAGCCCAGGTGCCACTGCTCCTCCGTTTCCCAGCTGCAGAGTGTCTGCCTCATCCCCTGGCAGCAGTTCCCAAGGACACCAAGAGAAGGCGGAGCCTCAGAGTTGCTCCCTTGCCAAGGTCTCTTCCCTGGAGCTGGTTGGCCCCCAGTCGGCCCCCTCCATGGTGGGACCAGGGCCTCAGCTCCAGTGGTCTCCACAGCCTGTGTCCTCTGGGGGTGATGGTCCTGGGCTGCGCAGGAGGCATCTATCCTTCCAAGCCGAGTACTGGGCCTGCGTGCTGCCAGATTCCCTGCCGCCTTCCCCTGACCGCCGCTCCCCCCTGTGGAACCCAAATAAAGAGTATGAAGACCTGCTGGACTATACTTACCCACTTAGGCCCAGGCCTCGGCTCCCAAGGCATCTGGAAAGCTGCGTGCTGGCTGATCCTGTCCTGCAGGACTCAGGTGTAGACCTGGATAGCTTTTCTGTCTCCCCAGCAAGCACTCTAAAGTCACCCACTAATGTCTCCCGCAGTTGCCCACCAGCGGATGCCAGTGCCCTGCCATTCTCTGGGCCCAGAGAACCAAGCTTTAAACGGTGGCACTCTGGAGTACCCCAGGAGCAGGGCAGCGTGGGGCTGGCATCTTGTAGCCAGCTCACATCTACTCCCAGAGCTGCAGGCAGCAAGGATACTACTTGGGAAAGGAGAGACCCAGCCCTGAGGGGTATGAAGGACTGGCGGACCGCGGGCAAGCACCTCGAGGTGGGCCCTCCCCAACTGAGGACATGGGACAGAGGATGGCCCTCATCCGGGCCAGAAAGAGAGAAGGGGGCTGGCCAAGGTGTCCAGCGCCCTGCCTGCATGGAGTCTGGATGGAAACCAGAAGAGGACTTAGAAAGTGACGACGAGTATCTTGCCCTGCCCACTCGGCTGACACAGGTTTCTAGCTTGGTTTCGTATCTAGGTTCTGTTCCCACTTTGGTGACCCTGCCCACCAGAGCTGCTGAAGGGCAGAGCTCCCTGGATGTGTCGAACAGTGATGGGCCCACTTCCTTCCCATCAGATTCCAGCCAAAGCCAGCTTCCCTCTGGGGCTGTCCCCAGAGGACCTGGGGCTCTTGAGGAGCAGAACCACTGTTTGCTCCGCTCCTTTCTCCATGCAAGGGACTCTGCAGGGGACGGCAGTCTGGTGAGCAGCCAGGCACTGGGGGTCTCCTGTGGACCTCTGAGAACATGCTCCTCCTTACCAGTTATTTTGGACCAGCAGACATTCTTGGACCCAGACCGCAAAGGGCAGCCTCCCAGGAGAGGAAGAGAGCAGGGAAAAGAATCACTCATGCACTGTGTGAAGGTAAACTCAACATTAAGAGGCTTGTGTAAAGGTGTCTCATTTCTTCCCCCTGCCCACTGATTTAATAACAAAACTTAGTAACATTGAGCACACTTCATGTGCCAGGCACTGTATTGTACCTTATCCTATTTAATCCTCACAACTCGCTACCCAATAAGGACTGTTCTCATTTCACAGAGAAAATGGCAGCAAAGGGTTAGGCAATCTGCCCACTTACAGTTAGCAAGGGCTGGGGCCTGAGATCTTGACTACTACCCTAAGCTGCTTCCCAAAGCTCTTGACCTTGAAGATCAAGAGGTACTCTGCACAAGTAAGTGCTCTCTTGACTGCAGGCCTTCTCAGAGCTTCAACTTAATAAAGTGGTGTAACTGCAGAGTTAGGGGCTATTAGATGTACCGTTTCCTCAACAGCTTGGCCACTGAACCTCTCATGGACCAACCAAGAATATCTGGATATAATGACTATTACAGGGAACAAGGTTGTCAGCTGATCTGAATTTGAATCATGGCACTGCTGTCTTAGGAATTCAGCTCAATCTCTTGAGTTTGCTTTTCTAAAATGAGATGTGACACTTCAGGGTGTTGTGTGGATTAAATGAAATAATTCATGTTGAAGGAGGGTGGGCTTTGCGTAGTCCTGACACAGGTATGTTCAGAAATGTGGCTCTCTGCACGCACACTGGGAGAGCCCCACGTGAGCACGTGGATACCCCATCTGCACCACAGCAGGGTGGCCGGCCAGAGGGCCGTGTACCCATGAGATGGTTCCTAGCACTGGAGGCGGGCAAGAACCTGCCCAAGATGTCCCGTGCATGATTTCATCTGTACTGTAAAGCAGGTAGGAGAAATGTTAGCATGTACCCTCCTTTGTGGTAAAAGATAGAGAAATGATGAGGTAAAGTGCTTGGCTCACAGCTTCCCCAGGGCGAGTAGCTGGCAGGATTCTAGGGGCCCTACTCCCTGAGCAGTGTGGAAGCAAAATGGGCGTGCATTGTCAGTTGTCAGCCGAACATTCAGGTGAGTCATAACCAGTCTTTTATGTCCCCTTTTTTCCCAGGAACAGTCTGATAGATAGTGGTGCTGAGCTAGGAACTGGTTTCTGTGGCAGGCATACCTCTTCTGTGCTGTGTCCCATCCCTGCCCTCACCTCTGCTCTGATCGCATGCAGGGCTGGCTTTTCTGAGTCTGTCATTTTTGTGTTATATCAGGCTGAGGGGAGACAGAACCAAGGTGGGCTGTTCTGTTGCCCTGGCAGAGGTCTGGAGTCATGGGATGCGGACAGGCAGGGGAGGACAAGAGACCAAAGCCTCAAGTGAAGGAATGCTCTGGACCGGTGCACAGTCCATCGGAATCCCCTGGATATTTTTAGCCTTTTGAAAATGTAAACAGCATGTGTCTTTTATTTGTCTACACAGACATTTTGCTGTCAGCTAGACGAGCTGATCCACTGGCTGTATAACATAGCAGATGTTACCGACCACTTGACTCCACCCAAGTCCAGCCTTACGAGTCTCAAGTCTTCTCTGCAGCTTTACCGGGTAATACTCATGAGAGGGGGCTAAGTCACTTGATTACAAAGTAAAAGCTTAAATAGCATGTTGTGGCTCAGTTGACTTTTACCTGAAAACGAATCATAGGTCCTTTTCAAATTTTTAATGCCAAAAAACTAAAATGTATCAGTTATTTCCTAAGCCAAATAGAGAAAATACATTTATCCTCAATCAAAAATACTTAAGGGTGATTTCCAATGTAATTTTCCAAATATCTCAGGGATTGAGACGCATACATCTGTACTATTATGGAGTCTCTAGGCACATATGGCTATTTAAAATTAAAAATCCAGATTTCTTGGTTGGAATAACCACCTTCCGAGGGTTTAGTCACACATTCATCTAGGGCAGCGGTTCTCAACCTGTGGGTCGCGACCCCTTTGGCGGTCGAATGACCCTTTCACAGGGGTTGCCTAAAACCATCCTGCATATCAGATATTTACATTACGATTCATAACAGTAGCAACATTACAGTTATGAAGTAGCGATGAAAATAATTTTATGGTTGGGTCACAACATGAGGAACTGTATTTAAAGGGCCAGAAGGTTGAGAACCACTGATCCAGGGGCTGCAGTGCAGGTAGAACGTTTCCATCACCACAGAGTTCTGTTGGACAGCACTGACTGATACTTAAGTGTTTAAGCTGAAATTATACTGACTCCAGAACATACCCAGGGCATTTTGATGGTATTTATACAAAGACACAGCTCTATTTGCTTCTCAGTGTGTTTTGTTTTGGGGAGTTTTGCCTCTAAAAAAAACTGAGGTTTTTTAATTTCAAAAATCTCTTTAATGGTGGTTCTGATTACTACTTTGGGTCAAAATATTTAGGTGAGTTTGTGCCTACTGTTCTGGCATACTTATCAATAGGCTCCCCAGAGTGTTTTGAATTGGATGATAAATTATACAGTTACCCTAAACATAACATTAACCTTGACTGACCTGACCATGACTTCTGGCACGTCTGGTTGGCCAAATCTTTATAACCTCTAATGAAGGAGCAGGGGTGTTTGTGGTCTCAGCCTGATGCTAGTCTAGAAAGGGTTTTTCTGGGACAGTTCTTTGAATTTCTCCCACATTTTAACCTGACCGATTGCCTTCAGCAAAAGAGGCCGTGATTTCCTGAGCCAGGGCCACACCATGCTGGGCTGAGCCTAGAGTTCCCACCACACCCAGGCAGGATGGAGGGCCTTTGTTTTCCAACTTGGGGCCAAGTAAAATTTAAGGGAGGAGCCTCATCTGGGTGGGCCAGCTGCTCTACACTAGTGGGAATGCTACTGCCTGCTATGCAGAGAGTTCCTTGCCTAGAATACACTAAGCAAAGCTGAGTATGAGTCCTCCATGTGCTGGGCCCACCTCTCAGAGGCCCAAGGGCAATATCATTGTGGGGAGAGGAAATTATCCTTGTTAGACTTACCTGGGTGGCCTTTCCAGAGTGCCTCAGCCCCACCCCCATCAGAGTAGGTGCCAAGTGAAACAACTCCATTCCCTCTATTATGTCCCTCATTCTGTCCAGTGCATCAACTTCCAGGCCAACCAGAGCAACATTCTTGCTTTGTGGGTAGAGGTGAGATCTGAGCTGGGAGTTATCCCTGCAGGTCAGTGAAGCCTAGCCCTCGTGTCATACACACAACTAACTGTGGGACCACTCCGTCACCCGCTTCCCCATGTACGAGCTACTCTGACCCATGTTACATACCTAATATATGCATGATTATGGGTATGTATGCAAATATTTTAACTGGACTCTATTTCACATACTTTGTCTTAATAGCAGTGGGTTTGTGACAGCATATAGACATCGAGAGTACTAAAGAATAACATAATAAGCATAGTATTAGGGCTGAACACAGGAATATAGTAAATCCAAGAGGAAAATTATAACCAGAATGTGAAACATTCTGCACCCTATACTAAAAGTGGTCATGGCTTTGACTCTTACATCTAGGGGCTAAAGGTGCATCAAAAACAATCGACAAGGAGTGGTACCTGTGAGGGGAAACAGATGAGCTCCTTTGGAGACTCAGCTTCCTTGATGCCTAAAGTCTACACAGAACAGGATATTAAGGGAGGATACGGGAGGCAGCAATCACTGTGGTCACCTTAACAGCATCTCTTGTGGCTCTTACTTGCCAGTTCCATTAGAATAGAGGACTTTTTAAGAATCCCATTGCCTGTGAATTTAAAGAAAACCTACCCTTTGAGGTGTGGCACAAGAAGGAAGCCTTGACTCCCTGTTGATAAGCCAGGCTCCACCAAGGGGGAAAACTCTTTTGTCAAACTTTAAACAGAAAAAAAAGATTGCCTCTGTATTTACCTTGGGCTCCAAAGAGGTGGTTCAACTTCACGCTCTTTACTTGGAGAGTCCTGAAGACCAGTGGGTTTACATTCTAGGTTAGAGGGAACTCAACCTACCCTACAGGGGATCATTTTGAATAACTTCTATAAAATGAAAGTAACGAAGCTTTTTTCTTTTTTTTCTGATATACTTTAAGCAATTTAAGAAAGACATAGATGAACACCAGTCCCTGGCGGAGAATGTCTTAGAGGAAGGGGAGATTCTTCTTCAGTGCCTGTTGGATAACACCCCAGGTGAGATGCTTGAGGCTTTGAATTTAGCCAGCCTGTCAGCAACAGTCCAGGGCTCCACACACTCACTGGTAAGGAGCCAGTAGTGCCGAAGCCACTCCCACATGCACCCATTGCCTTGGATTCCCAAGACTGTCAGCCCCTCACATCATCACTGCCCCCGCAGCTGCACCATGTAGCAGGCAGTCACAAAGGAAAGCCGAGTAGAAGTCAAGTGTCAAGCTTGTAAGAGCAACCCTCTTGCTTCTGCTTTCATCTTTCCTGGTGTCCGGGGTGGGAATGCTGGTTTTAATCCAGCTGTCCTTGGTTTTTGGCTAGGGTGTTCACAATGGGGAGCCCTCGAGGCTTCCTCTCCTTTCCCAGCAGGCAGAACCCTCTCTGGTTATCTGCTTTCAGGAAGAATTTCTTTCAGGATTCAAGAGCAGTAAGTCTAGTCTGAGGGAATAGACTGAAGAAGTGGACAGAGGGGACAGGGCGGACAGTGGTGCACAAACTAAGCTCAAGCCTGTTTTGTAGGGTGGATTTCCAAGGTAGAAAAATGTTAAAATCACAAACGAGTACAGTAAAGCATGCATGGTGCAAGAATTTATGATGGTGTTACCCTTGCTGGAGGTGGATGTGATATGGAGGATGAGGTAGGAGAATGCTAGGTTAAAGCAATGAAGTGATGGGTCCCTAAAAGCAGCCCCTAGTTTCCTGAGACTCAACATCCAAGTGCTAAAAGGCCATCTATATTGTGCCTCAGATTTGGAGATGGTGTTTATGCTAGAAGCAAATAGTATAAGCAAAGCTGGGCAGGGCCTGCGGGCTTGAGAGGCATTGAGGCTGCCCTTTCCTGACCAGAAGTAGTGGGCAGGTGCATATTAAGAGGTGGTAGAGCACAGTTGCTCTCAACCTCAGCACTACCAATATTTTGGGCCACGTACTTCTTTGAAAGTGGTGTCCTGTGCATGCTAAGCTGTTTAGCAGCATTTCTGGCCTCTACCCATTAGATGCCAGTAGCACCCTTCTCCAGTTACGACAACCGAAAGTATCTCCAGCATTGCCAAATGTCCCCTGGGAAGAAAAATCACCAGGGTTGAGAACTGAAGGAGCCATGGAGACACTGCAGGGATTTCCAAGGGGTAGTGCTTATCCAGTGACTTATATGAGACCTCTGTAATCCCCAGCCCTTGGGAAGCCGTTGTTTTGGCTCTTCTGGTATTCTCTTGCACTAGGGTTTTTTTGGTTTTGATTGGGGCAGAAATTCAGTATGCCAAGCTCCTTTGCTACCTGTAATCACACCAGCACTTTACTGAACACTGTGTGCCAGACACTGCTGAAGCAGTTCACTTTTTTTCCCACTTAATCACAGCCCTGTGAGATGGATACTATTATTACTGTCATCCCAGTGGAGTGATGAATTTGCCTTGGTCACACAAGGAATGGCAGCCTGGCTCCAGCCCTTATATGCTGGCTCCTATGCTGCTGTCAGTGTCTGGAGGTGCAGGCAGGGGCCTGAGCAGGAAGGGAAGGAGCTCAATACCAGGAAACTCTTCCCAGAGGCCACATGTAACAATGGGCCTCTTAAAGGCGACAGGTTCTTTGACCTCCATTTAAAAAACAATTCAGAAAACTTCTGTGCTTAATTTGTAATAAAAATATCCCACTTTGCCTTTCTCTCAAAGGAGTCTAGAGTGTCTTACTGTCAAAATAAGAGGCTTTGGGGTTTCTGTAGTTTTCAGGCTCTGTGTATCCGGTCTCTTTCAGATTGACACACTGCCCCTCCCCATTCTGTTTGGCACACCAGGAACCTGATTGCTTTGTGGAAATCACAAGTTCTCCTTGATATTCACAGGGTTTTTCCAGCTAGGTGTACTCCAGAGCAGTGGTCGCCAACCGGGTGGTCGGCGGACCACTGGTGGTCCATGAGGTCTGAAAGGTTGGTGATCGCTGCTCCAGGGCACACGGTAAGAGTCCAAGCACAGACACTGCTCCCCAGCCTCTGTCACAGCATAACCTTGGGGATGGGAAGCCAGATGAACTCCCCCCCCAAAATGTCCCGATCTCAGCCTCCTGCCAAAGGCCTCTCCACAGAAATCTGGCAGGTTTTCATTACAGTCCTGTCTCAACAAACTACTCATTATACTGGATCAAATGGCTGGAACCTATTGGCCTCAAGCTGAACCAGGTCTCTATAAAATCTATAATAATAAAAGTGTAATATGCTAATTAGACTGGATGTCCTTCGGACAAAGCTGGGGCTGCGAGGGAAGCCGGGGTCCCGGGTGCCAGAGGGAAGCTGGTGCCGGCAGCCGGGGGAAGGAAAGCCTACTCTTGCACGAATTTCATGCATCGGGCTCTAGTTAAAACATAAGATCTCACTGGGAATATTTCATTCCTATTCCCAGCTTTCCTTTTACTTGACTCCAACCAAACTAACATTCTAAAATAGAAGTTCAAAAATATCTAAGTTCCCTGAACTCCACTGACAGCACACAGGAGACTGGGCAAAGGTCTGGTGGACGTGGAGGAGAGCCCATCCCAGGTGCCCTCACAGGCGAGCTGTACTGTGCACCCTGGCTGCATTCCTCTGCCAGGCCTTCCCCTCACAGCTCTCATGAGTTGTCAGGACAGCACTTTGCCCTGATGACTGTGCACTGATGTGGCTTCCCTTGGGGCTGATCTCAACACAGCCAGCCTGTGCTTCTGCCCACCCGTCAGCATCCTGTGCAGATACAGCTTCCCCTTTCCCCCTTCCACTGCTGGCAGATGTTGCAGCTGAGGCAGGAAACTAGTGAGTGTTAACACTGCTGATAAAAGCACAGGAAACTAGAGCAGGCTTTCTGTTTAACAAAGGAAATAAAGGTTTTTAAGAAAAAAACAAGCTTGTTGTATAGGATGCACTCTGAACCTAGCCCATCCCTTTCTCAAATGAACAGTTTATATATCTTTTTATTGATTTCAGAGATGAAGGGAGGGAAAGAGATAGAAACATCAATGATGAGAGAGAATCGTTGATCGGCTGCCTCCTGCACACCCCACCCTGGGGATTGAGCCTGCAACTCCGGCATGTGCCAGGACGGAATTGAACCATGACCTCCTGGTCCATAGGTCAACGCTCAACCACTGAGCCATGCCGGGCTGGCTAACCATCTTATCTTTGCTTGATTTTAGGTATTTTTTTTTAAATCTGTTCTAGAACTCACAAAAAGGGGTTCACAGGGATCCCCAAATGTTACCAGACTACCCATGCACATGCTAAATGATAGTCCCCCAGCCAACAGAAGCTAATAGGACCTGGTAGTAAGACCAGGAGCCCTAATAGTGGCTTGTTGTTTTTTCATTTAAGCCTTCTGCTCCACATGATCTGGGTGTGCCCTGAGTCTTATCTCTAAAAGTCAGATAATACCAGTCACCACAGAACCATGCCTGCTTTTTTATGAATTACGTAATTCCAAAGTGGAGCCAGAGAAATTCTTGTCTCACTTTAATCACAAGTTAATAGATCCACCAGTGCAATAGTATTTCTTGGTCAGTTAAGAGTAGACATTCTGAAACCATTATGTAAAATGCTATACCCTTGTATGTTCTTTTGAAAATAACTTGCATGATTTTTTTGGTCTAATTGTTTTGTTAGTGTTAAAGGATGTCCTCAGGAGGATCTCAAAGCAGCCCAGCGAGCTGGAGAGCCACGCAGATCACCTGTATGACACAATCTTAGCCTCTGTGGACATGCTGGCTGGTTGCACCCTCATCCCTGATGACACACCAGTGGCACACAGTAGTGCTGATGTGTCTGGGATGAGCCTGGTAAGTAGAATAACCTAAGAGAACACCCCTCCTCAGACCCCAGTGCTGGATTAGGGTACAGCTCTGACATTTGCTTGTTTCTTAGAAGCTTGAGTCAAGAGCTATTAAAACAAATAAGATGTTTCCCTGGCCGGTGTAGCTTAATTGGTTGGAGCATCCTCCCATACACCAAAAGATGGTGGATTCAATTCCCAGTCAGGGCACATACTCAGGTTGCAGGTTCAATCCCCAACTGAGGCACGTGCAGGAGGCAACTAACTGATGCCTCTCTCACGTTCTCTCTCTCCCTTCTAAAAAGTATCAATAGAAACATGTCCTTGGGTGAGGCTAAAAAAAAAGAGGCACGTGCAGGAGGCAACTAACTGATGCCTCTCTCTCACGTTCTCTCTCTCCCTTCTTCTAAAAAGTATCAATGGAAACATGTCCTTGGGTGAGGCTAAAAAAAATTTTTTTTAAATGAGATGCTAGGAGAGGAGATGCTACTATTGCCAGGAAGAAGTGGGGGGCGGGCGGAAGGCGGGGGTGTGAGTCTTCCTATGGGGACAAAGGCTCATTGCTGTGTTTTCCATTACTGTTTCACCCGTGCTGCCTGCTGAGGACTAGGATGCCATGCTTCCAGTTCTATGGCAGTCCCTTCACCAGCACCCAAGGGCAACAGCAGCAAAACTTATCTATACCTACTTGCTCTTCTCACCAACTCATTTGATACTCTTTCTCCAAGCAACTACTGACAGCACCCAGTGCCTATAGACCCAGTTACTGGTAACTCCCCACACCTCCCTTTCCCACAAAAGGCTAGGAGGGGATAGTTGGGGGTAACATGCCTGGAAACTTAATAGTACAACTTTCTTTTGATCTCTGGAAAGGTCCAACTGAATGATAGGAGAGACGGGCTGAGAGAGAGTAGAGAGTTGGTACCCACTTTGGGACAACTGGACCATACTATCTCTGCAATTGCCTCTCCAATCAAAATGTGGTTCCTAACTCAGATTTTCCAGATTAGAACTATGACAAAATAAGGTAAAGGATAAAATCCAGGTATGTCAAGAGCAGGGAGTCCATGAAATTGAGCAAGTCGTTTTGGTTCTAAAATGTTTGTTGTATTTCCCCCCTCTGCAGCATTCTGCCTATAACAAATGCTTCTCTTTCTCTTTCAGGCATCTTCTCAGGCAGAGATGTAATCTGTCTCCCCAAACCTGGCTGGTGGGAAACTTTCAGGAAGAAAGTAAGAGCCATTTAACACTGATAATCAAGGGGGAAACTTAAAGCTAATGTACTAGCTTTAAAATGCCTTTCTCTTCCCTGAAATAAGGGGCTATTGAATTACTATTTTCATTTAAAACGAATACTTCCAAACTAAAGTGTTCCTTTGGTGCTTCTCTGCAAAGAGCATGAGGCTTTGCAGTCTTTTGATAAAATAATGTTAATAGTCTTATACGTCTTTCTTCCCTTCTGCCCAGTTAAAAAGAGCAGACAGAGCTCCTAAACTAGTCCATGCACTGAGATCATGTAAAGAAGGCTGGTATGAGAAATAAGGTACCAAATACTCAGTACTCTCAGGCATACAAGAGGACTCGAGTGATTGGTTGGTTGGTCAGGAACTTGGGTCTTTTCATAAAAATGAAGCTTAGGTTTGTAAGTCCCATTTAGAAGACTTTAGAAGAGACTTTAACTCTCTAAATTCATAGAAGATTCCTCTACAAATTAGGGGATTAGACCTTTTGTCATCTTCAGGGCTTAGGGGTCCATCTGCCTCCCTAACTAATATCTTAAAGGACAGTGTGTTGGGGACATTGGGAATTGCCATTGAGCTACAGCAAGACTGTGGACTAATGAGCCATCTTAAGGGTACCTCGAGGAGGATGCTCCCCTCCATTCCTACTCTCCTGTGGAAGAGTAGTAGTCCACGGTCAGGGAAGGGAAGGGCATGGATAGGATCATACAGCCTAGTTAGCTACAGAAACTAAGGCTGTAAATAGTGAAGGGCAAAAAGGAATTTTTTGTTGCTTGGGAGTTGACGTGTAAGTACCTTGATAGAATTAAATCTACAGATCAACCATTTAAAACATAGATTCTGTAGCTCTTAAAGCAAAGCAGTCATCCATTGCCGGTAACCACAGATAATGCAAAAACAAAAATCAGTTCGTTTCTATTGGGCTATGAATTAACATGGAATGAGAAAAGCACATTTCCCCCCATGTAAGCTTAGTATTATAGTGGGCTAAGATTTAAGGAAAGGGTTCTTCATACTTAAATATATGAGATAAGCACTTAAAGATCTTTTTTCAAACTCCTTCCAGATTCTCATTTCAGGAAGGTGCTTTAAAAAGGAAGATCTTTTAAGTTTGTAAAGAATGAACAAGTCACCTTGAATCAAAAGAAGATGATGATGGAACAATTACTCTCACAAGCAAACTTACGATACCCCTCAGAACAAAACATTTAATACCAAATTACTTTCTTTAAAGGAAATTTAGGACTTTAGTTTTGGGGGCTGAGCCACATAATCTTTAACGCCATCTCACCCACATCCATATGAACTAAAGTCCTATTATAAATGTAACTTTTTCTGCTTTAAAATTTCAGACTGCATAGTCACTGGGAAATATAAAATTTCAATAGTAGCTATATAAAATTCAGTATTTCAAGTGCCTGCTGCTACTGTGGTATGATTTACCATAATGCTTAGTTTAAGGGCATGATCAGAATTAAACTATGTATGAAGATTCTGCCTGTATTATGGTTCTTCATATTAATCTTGATTCCATACATAGATTTTATCAGCCTAGAACTGGTTAAAAAGGCACATATGTCTAATAGCCTGTTTTTATATTGTTATATTTCACCTTCCCTTTGATGTGGCTATAAAATGGTACATGCCTTTCCACTGAGTATGTTACAGGGTAGCCATTAAGAGTTCAACCCAGTTATTTACTAGTACTATTTGATGGGCATGAAAATAAGTCTATAGGTCAGAAAAAAAAATTGATGACAATCCTATAGAAACAAACTGGCTAGAGTTATAGTAATTGAATACTGCATATGCCATTCTATTCCGACTCAACCTAGTAATTGTAATGATAGAAATCTTCAGGGTACTTTATTTCAAAGTACTGTTTCCCAAGAAAGTACTACTTTACCTAGAGATGAACTCAAGAAGATTTTTGTTCATCCCCTTTGAAATAAAGTGTGACTGAAGGATGCTCATTCTAGACCTAGCTGAGAATGCCACTAAGGAATATCAACACAGTGGCTAATTACATCTTCAACAGTGCTATAAAAAGTTGAAGACCTCCCTTAAAACTGAAGCTGAAATTGTTTAAGCCTAGGAAGATGCCAGCAACAATTCCATGAGTCAACATGGCTGAGTTACAGTTCAAGTGGCCTGGCTGGCCAGTGCACAGGGGTACACATTAGCCTTAAGGACAATAGTGGCCTATGGTGGCATAAGTGTGATTATCAAATCCCAAATTTACCTGTTAGAAAATTTCCTAGTAGTCCCTTTAAATTAGTAAAAGTTACGTCCACAGGGAAGTGGCAGTACTAAGAACTCTATTGCTAGTTTCAAGACCTAGGTTCTTGTTGCAGCTCCATGGCTGAGCTCATCTGCAAATCAAATACAATGTCAACAACACAGGGCTGTTCTGAAGCTTAAATGGGAACATAAAGAAGGGTTGATGTAAAAATATGCTGCAATGGCAACATGTTATGTATGCTAAAGGAAATTTCAATCCAAGGTCAAAGAATAGGAAGTTACTGCTTAGACCAGAAAAGCTATTCATTCTGCAAGGATTTCCCAGAGATTGCACTGCTTAGATTTAGCTTACTCTTACATAAGCTAATTCATGGCAGCCACTTACAGTTTATAGTTCAACAAGTGACTAGATAAAAGCCCATAGTAGCTTGAAATGGGTGTACTTGAAAAGGGGGTAGGAATGGGATTTTTTTTTTCAAGACTGCATTTATTGGCATATTAATAAAAGCAAACAATGGAGCATGCTGAAACATCTTGCTTAGGTACACTCCATTCCGTTCTTGACTGTCATGGGGGGAAAAACACTAAACATTTCAAAACTAAGTATGTAAATATGCTTACATCTTAAATTCATATAATGTTTTTTGCCAACTCACCAAGAATAAACTGACAGTTTGAACAACTTGCTATATAAAACTGAAGTGCACGGTGTCACACTAACATTTGTATCGTTTATTACTTTGGAAGATAGTTTCTGAATTATTTCCCCCTTTATACCGTATTGTAAAGCAAAAAAAAAAAAAAACAACCTTTTGAAACATTTTTTTAGAAGTCTTCACCCAAATAACAATTTGGTAATTTGAGTTCAGTTGCCTTATGAGAGGATGAATAGATCCAACAAGCACATCTATAATACAAAGTAAAACTATGATTTTATTGTGAAATTCTCATAGATGGAAAATTAAATGGAATATTCTGTCCATTTCATTTTACAATAATCTTACCACTTATTTTTGTACCATGTGTTTCAATTGCCTGTTTAGTGAAAATAAAAATAAAAACCTTTAGTTTTTGGCTTGTTCTTAATTTAAATTTTATCACTGAATTCAAGACCCCACCATAAAATATGTTGCCAACAACCACATCCCAAGCCCCTAAGTAAAGAATATTTTGGCGGCTACCTTCAACCCCAAGGAAAACAGTCTTTGATTTCTATTACCTTAAAATGCCAGTATTAGCAAAAGATTTTTGTTTCTCACAATAAAAACAAACCCTAGAATCTTTAAGGTCCTATTTAACAAAATTTTCACATGTGCAAAATTCCATGGAAATAAATATATTTCTCTCACTTATTCCCATCTAACGTTCATGTTTTCAATTAATTATTAGGGACATTTCTAAAATTAGGGCAATCAAATAGTAAAATTTTCCTTCTTCTACTTTAATGCTTTACCTCTCCTCCAACCTAAGTTACACAATTGTGGAGGATAAAATAGTTGTCATCTGACCCCGAGCACGGAAGAAATATTAGCACATGCGTTAGTCTGATCATTTGCCAATTAAGGAAAGGTGATACTTTGCACCTTGAACACATAAAAGAATTAAAGTATTGATTAATGAAGCCATTTCAGATGGTTTTAGAGAAGGATCGAAGATAACAGACTATATAGCATACATCCTAAACTTGTTTTGCATACAATTTAATCTCCCTGAACCACTAAGCTTGGGTAAAATCCTACCCAGCAGAAAGCTTCCCTAGGTCATTTATTAGGTATATTATCTGGAAAGCATAATGGATGCTGCTCTAAGGTAGGTCTACAATGCCCTGGTTGCACACACAAATGGATGTTTTAGGAATAATGCAAGGCTCTCTTTCCCTTTAACCATAAGAATTAAAACAATACTTATCACCATTCGGTTGGATATTACTTCCAATAAGTACAATATTTATTAAACATATCTTCAGTTGTTTTGTTACATAGTGTGCAACAAATTACAATATTCTGCAGCCACAAATTATATGCAGAGTATGAAGAAACTATTAATCAGATAGTGTAATCTTTCCGTTTATAACTCTACAAGGAAGAACTAGCAAATCAGATCTTACATATAACATCTCACTAAACTTTATGCATGGAAAGTGACAGACACTGGTTGTGCTGTTTGATACAAAATGGCTGAACTTCATCTTCAGAAGACTAAACCTGACATCTAAACATGCCAATATAAACATCAAAACAAAATATATTCTAACCAACCACGGGAAACAGTCTGGTATCAGGAAAGCAACAAGGATTACACACATTATTTTATAAACCAGCACACAAAGGTTTAAAACAGTTCTGAAAATGAAGTTAGCTGTCTTGAGTCAAGGGAATAAAAAAAAAGTCAGTATTGACCATGTACAATCTCTGACCTTTGTGGAGACGGTAAGAATCTGTTGTAGTGCAGCTACATACAGTACAATTCAGGCAATTTTGTTTTTTCACTTGGGTTCAGATTGCAAATTCATTGCTGTGAGAAAAAGACGGAGGCAAATTTTAGCAGCAACCTCCACCTGACTGCTTGACCGGAGTGCTCTGAATTTTAACATTGGACTTCTCTGCACCACCAGCTGTTGCTCCAGGACCCATCCGCTTTTTAATCTCAGCTGCCATTGTCATGAAAGACTGTTCTACATTCGTTGCATTCTTAGCACTGGTTTCCAAAAATGGAATTCCAAGGGAATCAGCAAATTCCTAAGAGAATAATAAAGCACAATTAACACTGAAAAAAATCTTTTTCACTTTTAGTGCATTTCTGTCTAAAATGGGCAGTGAGGAAAGACTAAGTTCACTGAATCCAAACAGACACCATTAAAAAATTGTCATTTCAAAGTATTCTAGTGCACATTTTAAAAGCAAAAGGTGGTTGTGATCATTGCATGACTCCCCACTACATAATTCAAATTCAATGCCTTCAAATTCAGTTTGAAAATCAACTTTAAACATACCTTTGCTGTTGTGTAGTCTACTACTTTCTTTGTGGTCAGATCACATTTGTTCCCTACCAACAACTTGTTGACGTTTTCACTGGCATAACGATCTATTTCCTGCAGCCACTGTTTAACATTATTGAAGGACTCCTAAGAAGACAGACATTTTTAAGGATGATAATATAGCTCTGTTCTATAATATAACAACTGTTCTAATGAAGCAAGTGATAAAAGAAGTGTTTTCTTAACCTAAGAAGAGTTAATGAAGCAACTCTAGCTATAAGATAATTACTATAGTGCTGGCTTAGAAGTAAACTGATATTACAATGACTATCCTTACCTAAATAAATTAGAATTTGAAGGCTTGAGGATAAAAATACCTTATTTGACAGAGAAATACAGCTCAGCATCAAACTATAGCTCAAGCAAATTCGATAAATTTGAATTGAAATTTGATTATTTTGGTTTATGAATAGATTGTTACTACTAGAGACAAAAGATATTAAATAAATGGGTCCAAAGATGCTTGGGGTGTTTTTTTACCACAATCATATTAATGAGAAGAAATTTTTTATTTTTAAGTATTTCATGGTAATGACATGAGATTTGAAATTAGCGTCATTTTTCTCCTGTTGTATCACTCACCCAATACTTCTCAAGGCATTGAATCTAAAGTATTATGATTCCAGTTATCTCTTAATTAGCTATATCATAGTTGAAGTGACACTTAACATTTGCTACAAGAAAAATAAGTTCTATACACTTATCTTTTATTCTTTGATAGAAAAAAAACTTGAAATTTTCTAATTTTCTGATCAACAATTCTTATGGTCCTTGAACTACTAGTACATTCTTCACGCTATCCCTATACCCCCACCACCCCTTCTCTCAAAGGCTAATCTTCAGATATTCTTTATCTTCTTCTTGTTCAACCTATCGAGAATATCCTCCTCAGGCAGACTCATAATCTTGTTTTTTGGCAATTCTGACAAGTCTAACTACTAGGCAAATTTGTTAATATTTAATACCAAGAACATGGTATAAGCCAAATAACTACAGCTCACTATAAACTCTTGTCAAAACGATCAGTTTTTTAGTTGATAATAAATATAACCAAGGTCCATGAAAGCAAATGTAAAACCAAATACTAAATTTTCTATTTACTTAAGGAAAATAATATGACATTTTAGCTAATCAATTCATTAGATGCCCAAATAATGTTTATGTGATTCACTTATTTGGAAGTGGACAAAGTTTTTGTCCATATAAATAAAATGGGT